TAAAGAAGGAAAGATTTTAATGACTGCTAATACTTGATCAGTTAGGATTTAAATTTTACATCACTAGTTCCAACAAGATCAGTATTAAGTTATTTTCTTTAGTCTTTACATTACGCTTTTTTTTAAATCAAGAAATGTACAAAGGCATTATGCAGAAAGCACCGGAGTGATCTGCACGTGACAAATAAATACCAATGATAAGCGTCATTTCTCATTCTACCGCTTTATTCGAATTCGCATGCCCATCGAACGAGCGCATCTCCACACAAGAATTTAACCGTACTGAGATTACAAGTCGACGAAAATCGATTGCGTCGATATGTAAAATTTGTTCGCCTCCTCCCCCGAGGACATTAAGCCGGAAAATCTCTCGCCGCAGCATCCGTCGCCGACGAGAGAGACGACGAGAGAATCAGTATCGATCCGGAGCACGGTCCGATTCTAATAATGGGAGCGACCAGACACAGTACTTACCCGCGTGTAAGCCGCTCGTACTCTTTGCCATTCGCGTGAGAGGAAAATGAAGAAAGAAGGAGGAGTGGAAAATGATCGAAGACCCTCGAGGCGTGCGAGCGCGCTGCCAGTCCACGGGTGTCACGTTGCACTCACGAATGTCACACTGACGGTGTGCGGGAAAGCGACGTGAACCTACCCAATCCAAACATTCGCATGCCGCGGCATAGACCGCTACTGAAGCCTCTCAGGACGCAGGGTAGCGTCGTAGCTTCGCGATCCACCTGTTGGAGACGTCCTCAACTAGGAGAACACCCGGGTGCGGGTGTAAAGTCAGATGACGGGCGTTCTCGACTCTTCACGTATGAATCTTCAAGTTTTTCTTCAGTTCAACAGCTCAAAATGCATTCGAAATATATTAGAACTACCCTGATTTATCCCCTACGATCAAACTGCAACGTTGTTTGCATTAAGATCGTGATTTCCATAAAAGACTATTATTCGCTTCACGCAAAAAAAGATTGAGTATTTTAACGAAGCCATTTTCTTCCTTTATTCTCTTCTATCATGGAATGTTATTTATGATGATACATTTAGTTTAAAATTAACATGTAATCTTTTGTTCAATGTTATATTAAAAATACTTTTTAATATAATAGCTTCTTTATGCAAAGGATATGAAAAATTAATGAGTTGATAAAAAAAAAGACGATATTGTTACGATATAAGATTTATAACAAAAAAAAAGGATGTCTTATAAATTATCTAGCATGCGATATTTTAGATAGAGTATTTTGATTTTATTTTTATAATAGAAATTTATTATCTCAATTAGTATGAGAAATTTATAAGATACCAGAAAAATTAATCTCATTATTTTTAAAATAAAAGAGAAATGATTTGTTGTTTGTAGGATTTAAAGATATTTTATTTCAATCAACTATCGATTATCAGCTATTTAATGAATCGATAATTAAAACAAGAATATAAACAAGGAACTATTCAAATCGAAGCTAGATGACAATACTAAATGTATTTTAATAAATATTAACGTTTATAAAAATTCAGTCAACGCAACGCAGATAATTAAATATTTCAAAAGCATCTCATTTATTATTCTACAATTATTTAAAACTCAAACTATACAAAAAAATTCTTGAAAAACATATACACACCGGATATCTTTAGGAAATTTTATAGTTAAAATTACTGAAACTATTGAATTTTTAATTAAATTTAGCTTAAATTAAAATTAGCTTATTTTGAATAAAGATAAAACATGAATTTTGGGATAATTATAAAAAAAAATCAAATTTTTAAAAAATCTTGAAATATTTAAAACTTTTTATGTACTCAAAAATTCAAAATTGTAAAATATCAACGTTTGAATTTAAACGCTTCGGGACTCACTTTTTAACTGTAATATTTTTCAAAACTATATGTAAGCTATATGTAAGCTCTTGTAAAACTAGCAGTCTTTATATCATCCGTCGGTGCTCCTATCGACCCGGAGTGCTCGATGAAGTTTCAAACAAGGGGTGATAATTTGAAATTGCTTGCTGACATTATATTATTTAATGGTTACACAATTTTATATTTACATTCTTTAAATAATTTTACATTCAATTATCTTAATGTTTTGTATGTACATTTTTCTTTATAATATAATATATATTTTCACGCATATATCACATTGTGTGAAAATATATTTTGTAATTATAGTAGCTTCTTATTCTAGACCACGTTTTTGTCAAGAGGATCTCGATACCTGAATTTTTCAGGAAAATAATCGAAATTACCGTTATCAACTATTGATATAAAATTGTTTCCACCGATCAAAATATCTAAACAATTATTTTATAATATAAATTCATGATTTATTATTAGAAAGAAATTAATGTTTCATAAGAAAATGTGTATATTCATAACACAATGTTATATATGTACATACACAATATTATAATGTTATGTTGCATTATAAATATTATTAAAGCTTTAAACTTTTCTATATTTATCACTTTCATGAATAATTAAACACAAAAATATAATAACATTAAAGGTGTAGTTTTAAATAAAAATTGTTATAAAATTATAAATATATACTACACCAAGATAATATTAAATCATAAAAATATTATATTATATTATAAACTAATATCTAAATTTTATCAGTCACACGACTGTCATAAGATTGTCAGTATGTAAACTTAAGTTCTCACCAATGATTTTACCAACAGCGTCACGAGGTTCCGAGGAAGTCAATGTAGATGACGTCCTACGCAAGCAAATTGTCATATCCCACATTTTTGCAAATATTTTTGAATTTTTTATAAAGAAAAACGTAAAAAAGCAATAGAAAAATCTAAAGATCTATCATTTTCATCTAAAAATATATATATATATATATATATATATATATATATATTACAAAAAGAAAGAAAAAATTAAAATAGATGATGATGATGGTGATGATAATGATGATGATTATGATAATAATAATGAAATAATAAAGAGGAAGAAGAAAATATCTTTGTACCTTGTACCTTTTGCAGCGTTATCAAGACACATAAACGTTTATTGTGAGGCTCAGAAAATGCAACTTCTCACAGAGCTGTACCACAAATATATATAACGATCACGCCTCTCCATGTGTATACAAACTCATGGGAGAGAGCGGTGATATCGATTTGCCCTCCTTCCCAGTTGCGTATTTCCCTTCCGCTTGTGTCGATATAGATTAACATAGCTGCAAAGCGCATCACAGTGCTTCATTTCTCGAGGCAATTTTTCTCGAAAAAAAATGGAAAAAAAAATAAAACTGTAGTACACGCATTCTTTTATTTACTAATAAACAAATGATGAACAAATATCATTCAAATGAATAAAACATCCAGCTCAAACACAATTTATTTGCTAATACAGTTCATTCGCCGTCTATTTTTTTATTTAAAAAAATCCCTGTGATAGACTGACAAGAGATGTGTAATCGCTTGTTCTACAAGTACATCTCTCTTCATCCCTTTTTCCACCAAGATAATTTAACGGAAATATCACGAGGAAGAAAAAGAGACAACATTAAATTCTATTCGAGTAAAATAGTTCGGCGATAGTGCACGAAGATTAAAGAGAGCGGCGTAGGTGGCCTATGTCAAACGGCGCGGAATGGTGCTGGTAGGTCAAAGTTTAAATTGACATACAGACTCAGCGTCCCGACAGGCAGTCGTTGTCGGGCAAAACCGATTGGGAACAACGGCCAGCTCTCGTTATCTAACGCAGCCACACTTGCGGACACGTTAAGTAGTAACAACGTAGGCAGGATAATGGCATTCAAAGGGCTGTTTGCAGTTCAATGGAGGGATGTGCGTTCTATGTAGTTACGCGGACAGGTGGAGATGTATTTATACGCGTCTCTCGAGGCGAATGAAAGAATAGATTTACGCGGAAACTGGTACACAGTAAAATACAATCCCAATGATACCTAGTTAGATGGCTGCGAAAGATATCCCCGGACACTTTTTAATAACGCGAAAACTTTACTCACGTATTAAAAAGTGGATAATCATCAGATCAGGTTTAAAATAATTAAAAATTCACTTCTACCGTATGCTGAATACAAATAATATTTAAATAATAATATTTAAAATTTTGTAACATAATATGCAAAAAAAAGCAGTTTTGACATTTATCATCATTAGGTTAAAGTTTATTAATATTTTAATTAAATTTTTTTTATTGCTCAAACTTTATATATAACTAAAAAAAGAGAGAATTAAAAGAAGAAACCAAGTTTACATTTCGACACATATCTAAAATGCCGTCCACGCGTTCTAGTTATATTCTACGAAGAAAAACGAGGCTGAAGACAGCTATCAGATAACCGAAATTGCGGAGAAGCCTTCGAAGCGAGAAGCAAATGTTTCGCTCCAGTTCCCAATAATCCAACACGGCGGGCCGGTCCTCGTCGTATTCTATATAGAAAATATAAAATTCCTCATATAAACTTATGAAAACAATATACGCCAAGTCAAATACAGTGAATAAAAAGGAACAACCAAAAAAGCCAATCCCTATAGAAGAAAAAACATGAATTATTCAAAATAACTGTCTGATCTGTAACTTTATCAGTGTTCCTTTTTTGTTACGTTTTTGCAAGATCTTTTTACATTATATTTAAAGCTTCTATATTTAATAAAAAGTAAATTTAAAAAGTTCGTTTAAAATATCATTTCACGTTGGTCAAGATTTTATCTCATTTATAAAGATCTTTTATTAAATGACTCGTTTTCAGCTAGTTGAAAGTTAAATAATCTCTCTTTCAGTGAAATATAAATTGATTGATTCTGCTGAATGTTAATTTTTGCTTTTAATCGCCGAAGAGATTTGCAAACGTATATTGCTAAATAATACGCTAAATTGAGAGGTATTACCTTTGATTCCGCTTAGGGATGTGCAGCGGAACAACAAGGGATGAAACAATAATCACTTTGTTACCTGCTACCTGACAATTATCGGCATTACTACTGTAATGTCATCATTCGATTAACCTGAAAATAGCTAATTTTCTTAGTGAATCACATAATGAATTACAAAATTGAGATTGATATGTTATTATCTCAAACAGCATTACAAGCCTCTGCACACAAGCAATATACTATATCTTCATTGAGTTTTAGCCCATAAAAAGAACATCAGGAATGCGATTAAAAATTATAAAAATTATAAAAATTATAAAAGTTATAAAAACGTATGAAAATTTGTTTTAAAAACATTTTAGTTAGAAAAATACAAAATAAGAAATACAAATTATAAGATAGCTAACAATTTTTCTACATTTAATTTATTTTTTACGAGGAGGGTTGAAGATATATTGATGTCACACAGACTTAAATAATTTGCTTAAATAATTAATAAATATAAATATCATTCTATGAATAATCTGCGACAATTAGGAGAGTGCTACTGTTCTCGATGTTACTGCGAGATTAAATGTTATGAAATATCAAGGTGTGAAATTATACTTCATAATTAAACACATTTATTGAATTTTTTATTGGTACGAGTAATACATCGCCGCATCGACCAGCGCGAGACGAATATACAACATATGTATTTGATTACGCATTTAACTGCATATAGACATTTACACACAATCTATATTTCATCCATACTGTCACACACGCAAAAAACTTGCACGACTCATGAGGACGATCGAAAGTTTACCAATCAGTAGGTTGCACAGGACACATAGCTGATATATGATTAAACTGTCTCGTCTACATTTTAACATATTTTTTTTTTAAGAACAACCATCATTTTTAACAAATTGAAATTTTTTTCGTGAGTTAATGATTTCGGTTAATAACTTGTACCCCAATATTTGTACTCGCGGTATGTAATTAGTAATGATTACGTGTGATATCATATAATCATTAATTGATTGATATGTAAATAAAATTATAGGTACTAATCTTTAATTATTCTTTAATTCAATGATCGATTATCGTGGAACTAACAGTCTTGGAGATTTGATAATCGCTATTGAATATCTTTATATCATTTTTTTGTTGCAGATTTATTGACACATATAGAAAGAAAATGATTCGCTATTTTTTAATATATAATTTATATTTTATGCTTTCGTAATTAATTGTTCAAAGCGTTTGGCTACTATAATCATTAACTGGACATCAAAGCAGAAGACAGTTATCGATCTCTTTGCAAATGTTAGATAACATAATTAATGTTACATAATCAATTTCAAAAAGAATACTAATGAACGTCATTAATAATCTGTCGGTCACAAATATGAAAACAAGACAAATTTTTAACAATTTGATATGCAATATATCTTAAATCCTAATTTAAAGTTGGAAAGATATCCCATAACGTTAAATTTCAGATAATAAATGCCGAAAACTTGAAAGTACAGCATACAATTTTGATTAAAGGAGATTCAAGTTGTACTAACAATTTAAATTCCAAATCAGGATAACTGCAAAGTTATAAATTTTACACAATTCCTCGGAAAAGTTACATTGAATAAATATATAGCATGTGGCACAAAGATTTAGAATGCAGATATTTCTTCATGGAACTATTTCATATAATACAGAATAGATGTTTTTTTTTTCAATATAATATGAAATTCTGTCTAGATATATTTAATTTTTTTTATTTAATTATGTTTTAGAATCGATATGGTCTGGAATCTGAGTCCTCAATTGATCATAAATCCCTGAAGGAGAATAAGCTCAAGGAAATACGTAAGATCCATCTTATCCAATGATCCATTGTCGTAGACGCGCGTATAGTAACGCAAAAGGGACAATATCGGGGATCTTCGATCGTGAGCATCATACTGATAGGCGTTTGCACAGACTTCGACCTTTCTCTCAGGCGCTTGCGACAAGTCAATCGTAAATGACAAATAGATAGGATATAGTCATGTAACAACATTTCGCAGACCAAAATCTTATGGGCCTATCTAGAAAAATATAGATATAGATATATAGATATAGGTACATATACAGGGTGGTCCAGTAGACTTTCGATAGAAGCGGGCATGGTTAACCGCACTTCTCGTCTCGTGTTACAAAATGGAAAACTCTTCAAGAGAGTAAGTAGCGTAAGTTCCTGCAATTGTTTAATCGTCAGGCATTCCTTATAAAATAAAAAAAAAATTGCTAGGATTAACGAGGATGTCTTCGTTCATTTCCACTTTGATCAATGTTAATTTAATTTAATTCTAAGGTGTTTACAATTAAATATTCTTGTTTGCACAATTAGTAAAGGAAGTGAATAACGATCGAGTCAAATTTTTGACTTGAGCATTATTCTCTTCCATGTGTGTTTCCAAATTATGCTAGTATTTCCAATAAATAGTAATATTTCTTACTTTCCTCTAACATGCACGTAAAGATTACCAGTGCTAGAGGTAAAATATATTTCAACACCTCTACTCTTTTTTCTTAAATTCTTCATTTAATTTTAACGACTTATCGACCTAGTTGCTACATTCTTTGAAGCTTAAAAGGAGTCGAGCTAGACTGGAGGAATTTTGTGAACGCCATTGCCCGATGCCGTTTTACCTAATCTAAACTTGGTCGCTGTCGCGGCGAGATTAAAACTTTTTGTAACTCGCTCATCCGACTTTTATCCTTTTGTATAAAGCTTCAATCTCAATTTCTTCATAAAAGAATCTCCCGGCAAATATGTCCAATATGTGCAAAAAATATAAAAGGTTAAAAATATGAAAAATTCTTGTCGAAATATTCCCGTTACATCATATTGCGGCCATTATGCAAATAATGATAAATAATGGCAACAAATTGCTAATTTAATTTTATATATTTTCTATAATCAATAAAGATATGGAATTTAAAAAATGGATTAAAATTTTCTTTTTTCCGTAGTTTACGAAATGGTCGAATGTATGAAAATGAAAAAATTAG